CAGAAGCAAGCTATTCGATAACGACCTGGCGGCACTGCACATGAACAAAAGTCACATCAAGCTCAACCGGCCCGTCTACGTGGGGATGAGCATTCTCGACCTGTCCAAACATCTCATGTATGATTTCTACTACACCCAGCTCAAGAAGCAATACGGTGATCGATGCGGGCTGCTGTACACGGACACGGATTCCTTGTTGCTGGATATACGTACCGAGGACGTGTACGAGGACATGGCAAAACACATACACCTGTACGACACCAGTGATTACCCCAAGGACCATGCCCTACACAGCACGATCAACAAAAAGGTCCTCGGCAAGATGAAGGACGAATGTGCGGGCACACCCATCGCCGAATACGTCGGCTTGAGGCCTAAGATGTACTCCATCTTGAAAGCTGACAAGGGTGAGATCCGAAAGGCAAAGGGGGTCAAGAAATACGTGGTGAAACAACACATCAAGCACGTCCTCTTCAAACAAGCTCTGTTCAAGAATAAGACGTTCAAACACCGAATGAATGCGTTGAGAAGCGACAAACACAACATCTACGGCATCACCCTCAACAAGACGTCGCTGTCGCCCATGGACACCAAATGGTGGATCGCTGCCGATGGCATCATGACTTACGCGTACGGGCACACGCTCATAAACCACTGAGGCCCACCAGTGGTGAAATTGGCGCTCTTAGTTGGCCTGGGCTGTGCATCGAATGGTGTCTCTGCTCGAAATCGTTAATTTATACTTGGGGCTGGAAGCGGAATTGGTATATAATGACGCTCTTAGTCGGCCTGTCATAGAATCCCCATTCTATATACTACTATCTATAATACACTATAAATGCTATATGCGTGGTTCCATCAATCCTAGATTTTGAATAGGCATTATGTGGCGTCAACAGTGTGAAATATGCTTTACTGAGTACATATTCTTTTTTGTTTTTCATATGAATTCATTGTTTCCTTATTCGATGTTTATATTAAAACAAGAACAAAAGAGTTCATATTGGTACTACCAGTTACCCATAAACGTAAATTACTTGGGTGTTTATGGGTACCTCACTTCAAACAAGTGCTGCAAGTTTAACATTGTTCATTGAGTACTGAACAAGTATAAACTGTTCATTCACATGTTATAGTTTAGGAAAATTAATATTTTTCTTGGACTGACGTGATTTTGTTTTTCTGCACTGTCTCTCTGAATTGTGCAGTTTCGTTGAGAATGACTGTAAGATGAGGACCTTGTGTGTCTAAACTCCAATGCAAAATAGTTAGAAGCAAGATGGCGTTATCCATTACAATTTATCAGTGGAAAAAGAGCGGGACATGTCTTGAGACATGTCAATGTGGAGATGAGACTTTGCAGCTGACATAATACGAAAAATTTGGTCATCTCAGTTTGATGTGCCAAAACAGAATGATAACCTCTAATAAGATTTTTAGTTGAATTATCAACTCGGGATGTGCTGCTTTCGCCAGATGGACGTGTAGACTTTCACTGATCCAGTGATTCATCACCATGTATAGTAGACTGACACGAACATTGCGTTTTACTATTTGAACCATGAATGACCATGACTGAAGGTAGACTTATTGCGGTTTGTTGAGAAGATGGTACAACAGACTGGTTCAGACAGACCGCATTTGCAAATGACACAGGCATAGGAGCGTTGTCTTTGACCGTTTGATGTCCATCGCTTCCATGTATTTATTACAACCTTTATAGGCTGCGCTGTGATTTCCTCCACAATTTGAACATTTCAAGGTATCTTTAGAAGGGCAGTTATCATAGGCATGATCCCTACTGCACTGTACCGTATTTATAACACCTGAGAGCTGATGATATATACGTTCCTACATTGAAAGACTGATAGTACATGTATACATGCTCAGGGAGTGTGGTACTTGCAAAAGTTAACAGAACTAATAATGTCTGCTGATTTTCCTTACCTCTGGTTAAACGTTTAGCATCAGTCACTTTGACGGATTTCAACTGCTCAACTATTTATTTGTTTCCCACAAATTCGCGTCACTGGGAGAGCCATTTTCGACTGCACAGCCGATTTGCAGTTTAACACAATGTCACCTTTATCCAACCTCTTTAGGCTATGTATATCACCAATGTGTTTTTGAATGTCCTTAGCTAGTGCAACGGGACTTACGGATTCTAAACTGACTCTAGGGTCTACCGAGGACAACAAAAAATATCAATGGGCTTCAGATTTGTTTCTTTAAAATTTGTCTAAACATCATCATCATGTTTTCTTTTGGGACGTTTAGCGAACATAGCATTATATTTCCGAGCAAATTGTGCATGAGTAGAAGTTTCCTCAAAATCATCAGGAGAAGCCGACCCATCTGAATCAGAGTCCATAGCCCTATCTGAGAAGCAAACCCTATCATTGTTGTCGACAGTACGTGCCAAGCGTACGCATAAATTTTGGTGTCTTCACCGGGATTCGAACCCGGGCCTTTGGCGTGAGAGGCCAGCATGCTAACCACTACACCACTGTGCTCCATTCCACTCTATTCTATAGCGGATTCTACCATGACAGCGTGACTTGGTTGGACAATCAATAACATTAGACACAATAAATTTGGATTAAAACATGCTTTTGATTTTATTAGACCTTCACTGCGCATACATACAACACCACCGCACTTCTTCCGCTTGACTATACCAACATGGTTTTTTTCAGCAGAACAGACGTGATGCAATTATTAATAATAAAATATATGTCAAAACAGGGGGTTTTTTCGAAAAGATAATTATATGCACGTTTATTATAGAACCTCCCTATCACACGATAGCTTGTACTATAAGAATAAACATCCTCAGTTACGATGTATAGGCTAAACAATACATTCCTGATAAATCGTATTTTTGCTTCCGTCAAGCATAGCTTACACAACATGAGATATCCAATGATTGATGTTTGAAGCACCCCCTATAGAAGAGCTGGCGTCAAACCGTCGACACTGTTATGCGGCACCTCACAAGATAACGGTCATGGGCATGATAGTGTAGCTTCCTGCACTTATGAAGCGATGTGTTTGCATGTGAATACACAATGTCATTTAGAAAGTGGTGAAATGTAACACTGATGCACATACACGTGCATACACACGCGTTATATTTGGGATTACACTTTCTCAGTGAAATACAGACGCTAGTACTTTTGTTGGAGTGAGTCCCATTCAGGATCTGTACTTTACTGAGAACTTGTAATCCCAAATATAACGTGTGTGTGCACGTGTATGTGTATCAGTGTGTGACTTCTTGTACATGTCCAGTCTCATGCCAGTTTTATAACGCTCGCACACTGATTTACAGTTATTCTATTCTATTCTGTAGCTGATTCTACCATGACGGCGTGAATTACCCGAATTAGCTGGACAATCAATAAATTTAGACACAAACCATTTGGATTGAAAAAAAAGCATCTTATTTTAGGAGCGCTTCATTGTGCGCGCATACATCACTACCATACAATTTCGTTGAGTACCAACATGGCTTATATCAACACAACAGTCGATGAAATTGTTAGTAATACAACATTTATTAATCGGATTGTTTTCGAAAATATATTCATATGATTTTTCCTCCACATTTCGTCCTATCTTCGTTCTTCTATTATATGAATATTCAAACTCAATTGCAATGTATAGGCCCAACCATAAACAAACAATATCTATCTTACCAGAAAGCCTTGTGAATATACATACCTAAGTTAGTAAAACATTCGCCTGCCTGATAAATGGTATGTTTAGAATGGCATAACCTGAGATATCCAGTAAACAATATTTGAAGCATTTCCTAAAGAAGAACTCGCGCCATACCTTGAACAATCTTATGTGGAAATTCGCAAGATAACGGTCAGTCGAAACCCCAAATCTTTCCAAATTTCCAACTGTTGTGTAACTGTCAACAACTACTTCCAAAATAATAAGTAGGTCGAACCATTCCTTTATAGTGTTGGCAGAGTGCTACAGTACCACGGCGCCCCGTGAAGATACCAGTTAGAATTGGTCTTCAGCAACCCATGCTTGTCGTAAGAGGCGACTTACGGCATCAGGGGGTAAGGCTCGCTGACTGGGTTGAAACATGTCTTCGTATCTCAGTTGCGTAGATCGATGCTCATGATCACTGGATTATTTACACACACACACACACACACACACACCATCCCCCACCCCAACCTGCCATATTGATGTGATATTGCTGAGTGCGGCGTTAAACGGTAAACTGACGAAACAGTACGGGGATGTGTGTGCGTGCGTGCATGTGTGTGAAAACAAAGTTTTTACCTAATAAATTGATGCATTGAAGTAGTTGTTTGTCTTTTGGGGACAGATTATGTTTTCATGTTACATAGTATAAGAAAAATACACCAGGCACCTACAACCCCTTTCACAGTCGAGTCCAATTCCCGTATCGTGCCATGCCGGACAACACAGTGTCTTCAGTTAAATCAGTTATGGTTTCAAAGGAAATTCAGAGACTATCAGTTCGGTCTAACATTAACCTTATTTTCAAACTCAGTACGTTTATCACCCAATGAGTTTTTGTTAATAATGGATGCAGAGGTCACGGGTTCAAGATTCCTTTCAGATATATTCATGAAAATAAAGGTTGTCACCCCCTTCAATTTTTTTAATTGGAGTGGGGTGGGAGGTTGGGGTGGGGAGGGGGTGACAACCATTATTGGCATGAGTATATATTTTGGGAGGCCTATTTCAGATGTCACATGGTTTGAGGGTCGGTGGGATGGCCCAGTGGGTAAAGCGTTCGTTCGTCTTGCCGAAGACCTGCGTTCAATTTCCTACAAGGGTATAATGTGTGAAGCCCATTTCTGATGCTAAAAGGGATGTTAATAAATCCAACTCACCCACTCACTCTTGCTTTAATATCACCGAAACAATGATTTAAGCGGTGTAAATCCACATTCACTCGCTGTCTGAATATAAATGGAACAAGACAAAGAAAACCAACACAGCAAGACTAATATGATGAGCACTTTACTTCACCCATACTTGCAGCACATTATGCAATCTGTTGGGGTGGGATTTGTGGAAAACAAACATTTTAAAGTTCCTGTTCACAAATAAAATTTGATGGCGTGTCACATCTTTTATCATTCCACCGATACTTTTTTGAATACTTCCATAACTCCAGACAGTGTTCTTGGCCTCCAGAGTTATCGGGTTGTTTTGTATTCCAGTGTGTGTAGGTCATGCGCCGTTGTCCTTCCCACATCCATCTCCCTTCAATGTTCAGATCGGTAGCACCAATAAAGTAACTTGGAGCTGCAAAACAGGTGAAAGGGTGAGAATATGGATCCCTCGAAATATATCGAATAAATTGATACATGACGTTTGTTAGTAGCATTGCCCCAAAATACGCGATAACTCGAATACGATTTACTGGTTTGTATTGAAAATGTGCTTTGTAGGTACGATCTGGTAGAGTTATCCACGGCATTTTGAAAATGTGAAACCACTGTGGCTTTTGACAGTGACAGTGTGCTATGGGTAAGGTAAAAAAAATGAATCCAATTCTTGTAAATATGTGCGCCACCTTTGTCATGTGTGACATTGACATTGACAGCGTGTACTGCGATTAAGGTGAAAACCACCACCAATCGCTTACACTAAGTAATTGTAGTCAATATTAGTGGTGTGACGATTCATCGATACGCATCGACGCCGATACAGTCAATCGATACAAAGTTTTACATTGTTGTATATCCCGACACGATACTTCAAATGAACCACGATACATCGATGTGTAACTTATTGCCAAATCGCAATATCTGTCAAGAAGAAAGACTTACTTTTGTTTGAGGATTAAAATATATGTTTACTTATTTTCCCTTCAGAAGTAAACGTTTTTCTCGGAATTTCTTGCATCGATAACTGTGTCAGACATTGTGATTGCGTGTTCTCAACGTTCACAAAATCAGTGTATAAACTTAGTAATCTCGTTTCCGAGTGAACATTGAACAACGCTGGCGGAATTTGATGAAATAATTTAAAATTGGTTTTGTTTTGATCTTAAGGTGTTTTATAGTTGGTGTTAGAATTAAAGATTATAGTATCGGGATACGTATCGTATGGCAGCTTCAGTGCACGGTACTTTGGCAATATATAGTCATGACAAAACAATTATTAACGCAGTATATCGCAGGTTGTATGCCAATACCAGCACTAGTCAATATAGGATCACCTGACACTATAACTGGAAATATATTACTAAACATGGAAATCATGAAACATATACACTATGTAGGGCTGCACTCAGCGCAAGTATCGATCATACCGCTAAGATTAGTGGAATGTTCTCCTTCTTATTGTTTGGAATTTTGAAACTAGAGAAAGGACACGTTGGCCCAAGTTTTGGTACCATTCATTAAAACAGTGTATAGATCATTCAGGATGGCAAAACTGAAGCAAAGCTGCGTCACTAAGGTGGAAATGTCACCTTTTGTGTATTGTACTTCTCACACCAACAGGACACCGAATGTCTTCTCAAACGATTTTATTCAGGACCGAACACAACGTACGCCGCTCGAGAGAGACTTGGTCACACGAGCAAGAGTGAACTAAGGGACACAACTCTGTACGTCTTTACTAACATAATACAATATAGTGCTAATGCACTGGCGCTGGAAAAAACTGGAGTCTCATGAAAGAGCTCTTTTCGGTGAGGAATATACCCACATGGGAAGCTGAAAGGTGAAAATACTCAAACATACTCGAAGACAAACGTTGTTGTGACACAGACACTACAAACAGAATCAGTGTTAAACGTTTACAGTTTCAAGGCACTGTAACAATCAACAGAACATAAAACATGAGGAAGGAACGTGTGTTGGTTCCCTGCTAACAATAACGTCAACCTTTGAGTATATGTTTGAAGCCAAAAGGAAAAATATAATCTCATCAAAAGCAGAATGCCCTATAAGAATCTCACCTCTGCCACGTCGGATAGCATATCCGTTGATGAACGAGTCTTCATCTTGGCTTTCTATTGTCGCAAGATGGCTCTCCAAGTAACGACAGTAGGCCTGAAAAGTACACTCCATTGTTTAAACAGCAAGCAGAGGAAGCACGTCCTTCCAAGACGACACTTACCATCTGTACATCTCTTTAAATACGAAAGACTAAATTTTGTTCAAGTCTAGAGAGAGACAGAAAAGTGATTTGTAAAATACATGTCCACATCTGCTTTTCTGAATTTTCGAGTTAACTGTTTTGAGCAATTTGTTTCAAAGTACATTGTATACAACAACTATGTCTTCTGTAAATGAAGTAAAATAAATAGGGTATATCATGTGTCAGGGGTGATGAGACCATCTCATGCTGCAGTTTCACGTCATTCTGTGTTGTTGTTTAACGTTATGTGGTGGCGGTCTGTACATAACTGAGCCTGGACCAGGCAATACAGTTATCAACAGCTTGAGCACTGAATTGAGATACAATGACACGTGTCATTCGAGTCAGCAGCCCGGATCTTCATGTATTCATCACATAATTGTGAAAGGCTGAATTTTGTAAAGTCCAGAACATATTTCTGACAATTCTAACCTTCACAGGTGGGCAGAATATTTCAGCTTACATTGTATAATGATAAATACTTTATAAGTTGTATGCTTCTCTCGAGGGTAATACGGTCTGATGTACCCCTCTTTGTAGCAGTGACACCCGAGCTGGAAGGCGCACATCAGACCGTATTACCCGATGGAGAAGCCTGCATTGTATTTATCTTACCGCCATGTTAAATGTATAAAATATCTTCTTTTTTTATTTTAAAGATCGCTACTACCGACTATATGACAATTAAACAAAATGGTGTCTGTCTCTCGACTGGATGTTTAAAATCCATGAAACATATTCTGACAAGCTTAAAACTGCTTTAAAAAAGGTTCATTATGTTTAAATTGAGAGTGCCAACGAATAATGTATAAAGTAGTTTAAATAAAGCAGTGAAAGTCGGTAAAATAAATGTGCACAAAGTGAACTAAAAACAGCTAATCGAACGGTTTTCGAACTCCGGTCACTGCATGCCTCATATTACTCAGCGGAGAGTTTGGCGGTTACCATGGCAGCAGGTAATATCCTCCTGGGAGGGGTGACACGGAAACTTGTTTAAGCGTCATTAACCAATAAAATTAAAGTATTTTACATGAAGGTAAGATAAGTGGTTTGATTGTTTGAAGCCCAGTAGGAGAGAGTTAAAGGTGAGAAAAATACCCTCATGCGATAATACTTACAGCCGCCTCTGGAAACGAACATCGCACGTTTGAGAACCAGTAGCAGGACGTTCTGTGTTGATGAAATCCTAGCGGACATC